CGACTTCATTCCCAACATAGCCTGTGAATTTCATTACAAGTAACACTGACGAAAACATGTATGGCGGGCTTGTTCATTGAAATGAGAGAGCTTCGATTGTTATACAATGCTTTTAATTTAAAAAGGAAAGAAAAAAGTTTTATGATGATGATGATTCAAAGTACTGCTAAACTGAGTGGTGCTGCTACGTTAATCCATCTTGATGTAAACTCATGTATTGCCATGCCAGACGATCAATTGCAGAAATGTCAAAATATAAAACATCCAAAGATCGCATTCACTTCCCAAAGGATATTGTTTTTATTTCCAACATTCATTGAACGTACGAATGTCGCAAACTGATGATTATTCTCATACACCAAATCGTGTATTAAGATATTGAACAATGTGATCTTGTTTATTTGTCAGGTTTTGAACATCACGCACATCTGCAGCAGGGAGAAATTGAAGCAATAAATTGGTATTTTGTTCAGTATTGCATCCGACAGGCACAGACACACGTTATGTGATTCTACCACTGGACATGAATGTGCAACGTACTTTAAGAACCTTATTTTAACAAGACGTGCTTTTTATTGGGTTTGTTTTTTCCCCCACAAATTTGGGGTTGCCGTTGAATGTTATTTCAAGTTTTGCCGCCAAACTAAAATACTGCAGTTCTTTTGTGGCTTGCATCATACTTTTGATGTAAATCCTTAAAATTATTTTTCAAAAGCATAACATTTTACCTTTTTACAGCAAATTTTAGATTTTTTTTTTTTTTTTTTTTTTTTTTTGGGGGGGGGGGGGGAGATGATAAATAAGCTCATTCAATCTAAAAGTCTTTGAGGGGCGTTCACGATTGTCCGAATTTGTGTTTATCTCAGAATAATCGTGTACCACTATTTTAGTTTAAATTCATGTATTTTCATCGTTTAAAAAATTGCACACAAACAAAACGAAATTCAAAAAAAGATTAAAGAATGAAATCAAAGCTAGAAAAAAAAGTGTCTAAATCATGGTTTATTACCAGCTGATAAACCTAAATTACAATACCTGTTAATACGGCTACGGCATGAGATAGAACTTGTGTATTGTTGTTCAGATCACTTGGTAATACAATTGTTATTGGTCGAGGCTGAAAACAGCAACACACAAAGATTGATTCTAGGAAAAAACATGTTTCAAGAAATTGCTGTTTTTAAATTCAATTAATAAAATACGGTCCTGAAGACTTTCGAAAATACAACGTCAAGCCAATTTCAGTTAACTATTGTATTATAAATTATCATGTTCGGGTTCATGTCATTGAAATGTTCGGACATATGACAAAGTGGTCGACATAGCTAATGAAACTATCTGACTTTCATTTTCTGAAATAAAAGCCTTTGTTAGCGTATTCGTATTCGTATCTTCGCGAACTTATAATAAAATTTGGACACAGCTGAATGCCATTGAAATTTTGCATTTTTTTTCTAGCTTTTCATTAAGTGTTTCAGTCCGACATGAAATATAACATTCGACTTTGTGAAACAGATAGCAAGCCTTAAGAAAGGTGTCTCATCTAGTGCAATCAGAACATGATTCCTTCTACCCGTGGTCATTCCAACAACATCAACAACAACAACAGCAACTACAAGTCTACAACTACTAATAATTTATGTGAAAAGGTCCTTATTTTTCACTCTTCTACTTACAGATTTTTTTTAAATTGTACTTTTCACCTTTAAAATGTACAAGTGACAAGAAAATAAGAGTTTTAAACAGCTCCAAGTTATATAAACGTATAAAAACAATAATTCTTAAACTCATTAGTTTGTGCACATTCGATGGTTTTCTAATGGTGTTTACATACTTCTACGCCGTTGTATGTCTGACTGCCCTTGATAGAATGGACTTTTAGATTTACACGTCGACATAGTGGGCTGCTACGTGTGACGTCCTTTTAAGGCAATGGCAGTGCCTTAAAATGACATCACACGTAGCAGTCCACTATGACGACGTGCAAATATAAAAGTCCCTATTGGCGCAGCAGAGGTTTAAGCCTCGTGTGTAGTCTAGATCTATGTGACAATCCTACTTACACCTGACGCGTTGATCACTGACGCAGGAGCGCATCAGAGACTGGTCTTTGCTTCGCCATGTTGTGAAAAGGAAAGCGTACTAAAAGCCTTCCTGATGATAGAAGGAAAAATAAGGAATTAACATAAGGAAAGACAAAAAGAGAAGATAACCCCCCAAAATGTAAAGATAAAGAGTAAGGAAAAAAAGATAGTAGAGAAGTGGAAAGAACGAAAAATTCAAATAAAATGAGAAAGGTTGAAAGGGGATGTGACAGAAGTGTAGTAAAGAGTAACAAAAGAAAGATAGATGAGAAGATGATAAAATGATGAAATTAAAGAATAACAAATTAAAAGAGAAAGAAAATGACAGAAGGATAACAAAAAATGTCAATAACAGAAGATAAAAGGATGAAATAATAGGAAAATAAAAAAGATGACATAAGAAAAATAGAAAGAAAAGATTATGAGAGGATAAAGATATAGAAAAAAGATGAAAAAAAAGAGAAGGTGAAAGGTGAAAACAAGAAATATCAATAAAAAAATAGAAAGAAAAACACGTAGGATAAAAAGAATAAAAATGACAAGTGCTGTCATAGCAAAAGCTCCCTGTTGCTATGGCATCACGTGTCTCATCAGGGTAAAAATTGCGAATTTGGTGATAGTCTCAGTTTTGTAATTAAGTCAATGGAAATAACAACTCGTATGCACCAGGCTAAAAGGCACATTATCAGGTTACAGATACTGTTGTATGCTGATCAGATCTTTTCTGCTGCCTAACGGAAATGGACAGTGGCTGTACGCTGTTCTCCGACTGTCTGAATGACGCCTCGGTCGACTCACTATTACCGCAACGAAAAGCCTTAAAGATACCACGCCGGAACAACTTGTTCTTGAAGACGTATATAAAGGGATTGACGCAAGAGTTGCAAACCGCTAAGATGACGGAGAAGTGGTAGTAGGTCTTGGTGAAGTCGACAGGTGCGCCAAGAGAGTAGGAGAGAAAGAGGAATTGGTTAGGTGCCCAGCAGACCATGAAGACCATGATGACGACGAAGAAAGTCTTCTGCATGTCGTTGGCTACCTTGAGATGCCACCGGTTGTTGTTGTTGACGATATTGACCCCTACGGATGTACCGTTACTCTCATTCCGTCTGACAATGTTATTATTTCTCTGAGCTCGCTCTGAAATTGAGAACAACAACAAATTGCGCAAAGTGTAAATATATATCAAGGAGGTCCGAACTAAATTTTATTTAACACAATAATATTCATTACTTCCTTCGGCTGTGTCTTTGATGTCCATTTTTCATCTAAATCTTTTAAGAGTTAGGTGACATTATCAGAGCGTATAAGCGATTTCTTTCAATACCCTAAGGGGAGACAAAATGCGAGGGATGAGGGAGCATATTGAACGAGAGGGGCAAAGCTGACAGAAGTGGCCACCCCCTCAAGGTTTTTGAGGTTTTGTTGTATTAAAAAATTACATTCCTTAGCAAAACTATAGTATAAAAACAAGCAATATAATTTTGTTCACACTTCACTTTTCCTTTACCAGTAACGAGTGTGCAGTCCGAATGTTTGTTAATATTTAGTAGGTAAATTTTAGTAAGTAGGAAGCTAGGACATGGATGGGATTTCTATTACCCACTATTTATCTGTATATTTTGGAGGATATTATGCGAGGGAGCGTAGCAACCGAGCGAGAAGATTTTTGCATTGTTATTAGTCTAAACGCTTCGCTCATGGGCCCTCCAGAGCCTAAAAGAGTGTTGCAGTCTTTCGTCAGTATTTGCTATACATTTTCTTTTGGCACTTTTCAAGTTTTCCGGTGGGACGTGTCCCCCACCGCCCCCTCCCCTGGATCACCGCCTATGATTGATATAGTATATTGTGGTATCTCGCGCGTTGTGAATATAACACTCATTTAACGTGTCGGGATGGGGCGATATTACTGGGTAGACAAAACAAGGCCATCGAGTGGGAAGGGTTTAATAGTAACATTTATTCCACCCCAATCTCTTTTTATCTCAAGTTTGGGCTATCTAGCATGTTATTAGTGTCATGTCCCCCACAGTTTAGTGGGTGGCGAACACCGTATCCGGACAACTAACCCTTAGGGCAACCACCCTCTAGGACGACTACCCCCGAGACAACTACCCCCGGACAACCACCCCCAGACAACTACCCCCTAGGACAACAACCCCTTAGACCAACTACCCCCCGGATAACTGCACCCGGATAACCACCCCTAGGATGACATCGCCCTGGGTTAGTATCTTGAAAGTCTTCGGGATTGAAGGAATATTATCCTCACCAATTGGTCCATGTTCTGCGATGTTGGCGGCCAGGGTATTGGCTTGACGTCTCAGGGATCTGATGATCTTACCATGCCACACCAGAAGGATAACGATGGGTATGCCGTAGATTACAGTGAAAATGAACACCCCAACAACCTGTGCAATTCAAAGATAAGGTTGACTTGTGAAGTTGTGATAAAGGTCAAATAAAATTTGTGAGCTTTATCATTTTTTATTATTCTTAAAGACGCCCCTTGAACAGGAGTGCAATAGTCAGTATTCTGCGAATCAGAGTACACATACGAAAAAGCAGTGACTTACTAAAATCTTTTGCAATGTTTTATATAATTTATGTTTTGGGGCATATTCGATTCAGTTAAGGTACTCGCATCATCGTGAATCTGTAATAGACTTTTAAAGTGTTTATCCTCTTATGTGGATTCATTTTTGTTTTCTTAATTCACATAAGCATGAAGACTTTCATCAACAAAAGTAAAGAAACTCTGAAAGTGTCTAATAAAATAAACAAATTTGACCGTTGTGTTTTATGTAACAGAGACTGGCCATTAGTATATAAATCTTTGTAAAGTTCTTGAATATGCATCAAATTAGATTATTTTTGTTTTCTTTACTCTTGAGACCCCTATGAACTACCTTAAAATTACACTAATTGAAATACCATTTGGTGAGCCCGGCTTGGGTAGGGCAAGAAGACACAGACTCCATCGCGAACATCGTAGATGAAGAAGAAAAATATTGGCGACAGGATGCCGATCAACCAGCAACATGCGGAAACGAGCAAGGTGAACTTTGTTGTGAAAACCCGCTTATACTTCAATGGATGCACCACGGCAACGTAGCGTTCCAAAGTCACGGCCACCAAGAAATAAATGGACATGACAGCCGACACCCACAGGATGTATTTCGAGATGTAAAGGCGACACATTAATTCGCCTGACAGTCCCTTTGTTAAGGGCGGTGCACGTGGAAACATGTGAAAGGGTATTAGCCAAAATGAGGTGAGAAAATCGGCAATGGCGAGGTTGATGATGAACTGGCTCGTGCGTGTACGAAGCGAAGGAACGCGTATGAGAACGAAGCAGACGAGCGCGTTTCCAGCCATTCCGCTGAAACCGATTACTCCGTAGACCGTGCGGACCACGGCGCTGTTGTCGATCCCGCTTACAGACCAACCCTGATCGTCGGCGTCATCGACGGTTTCGACGTCTGTGGTCATTGATATTGTTGAGTTTGGCAACGAATGGCTTTCCAACAGATTCAGCCCCATTGGCCTAGCAATTCTGATCCCGTATGAAACTATCAGTCAGTGCACATTTAGAAGCACACTTATAATTTCAAGTTATGCGTATCCAGTCACTTCCCTCTCCTCGAAACACAATTCTGGAGACTATCCTGTTATAGTATTTCTTAAATCTTTGTTGTTATTTAAAGTGTTTCAACAAGCGTCATTATATGGTAATCCCTATTTAATACAGATGAAGTAGTTAACAAGAAGTAAAAATCAATATTTAAAAACGAACACCAGCTTGGAAAATGATGCTTACAAAGGGTCATCATCTGGAACTGAAGCGTTTAGCTTCTGATCTTGCATCACCTCGGAGCGTTACTTAATCAATGAAGTTTTGAAGACGCAAAACGGATTTCTAAATACAATATCACGAAAGGTTAGCTCATTCTTGTTTCAGATGCCATCTCGAAAAAATAGGAAATTATTGGGCAAACTTCATTCGTGTCATTTGCAGAGAGCTGTCCGTAGTTCAAGATAATGACGCACGTAAAGCTGAGGAATGTGATCCGCATCTCAATCAGACTGTTCTGTGCATTTGAATTTCCTATCTTCAAAAATCCCTCAGCTCCTCAAGGGTGATAAGTGATAACAAATCAAAGCTGTGATTTCATCTACCTCTGAACAATGGACTGGACGCGACTGTAATCAGTAGGGTCATTAAATATCACGTTAATTTGTCTGTGGAATTGTTTTTTACACAACGAATCCTTCGGAATGCCGGGAGATGATTGGTTGATTTGGGTTGTGCGTATATAAGAAAACGGACCACTCGGTTCTAACATCGCTATTGTCAGTGACTGATCCTTGAGGCACTCCGTAAGTAAGGCATCATACATTAATATAACATGAAAACTGAACAGAGCAACATGGCGTTAATTAAAGGAATGCATGTACGCAGTATTATCTAATGGTTATTGAATATTTGTTACCCCGTTGGCGAGTACCGTATTTCAAAAACTCATCTTGATATGATTTCCGTTTCATAAAATATTTACTTCTCAAAATCAAGCCAAATTCGTCGTATTGATAAATCAAATCAAGCTAGGGGGTGTTTCACGAGAGAAAGAGAGAGAGAGAGAGGGAGAGAGTGAGAAATAATTGAATGTTTCATGACTTTAGAAGGCTAAATTGTGTCGACGGATGTGAAATCAAGGAAATATTCGGACCACATTTTTTCTATCATGTATTCTCTTAAGAAAATAAATGACAACCTATCTTCCAATCCGCCGAATGCAATATCTATTGACGTGGTTCTATCGCCCCTTGATACCTGCTCTCAAACTGGTACAATACACAGATATTCAATGATACCTATTAACTAATATTTTCATCTGCTAGACATGTCTGAGGCTTTGAATACCTCCAAGGTAACCAGCGAATCAATGGAAAACCTTTCAATAATCAGACTTTGGCCACTCTGCTTTATACAAACAGCTTCCGCAAGGCTAAAATTTCGCCATTAATTTCACATAATGCGCGTTCTTATCAAAAGCGAATTCCACTTTTGACTTCTTTCGCTTCATTAAAAAGAAGAAGGTGGAGCATCTTCTCTCGTGTTAATCTGACCTCGAGTTGTTCTAAGTTTCAGTTCCATACATCCAAGCTCTTTATAGGCAGTGTTTCAGGTTACACGTCGACGTCTGACAGTGGCTGTTGCTAGGTAACGGACAAAGCACTGCGGCTTATCCACCGACAAGTCTAATAGGTATCTCGACGTCCAATTTACAAATTGAAAAGATGGTTCCACTCTTGGGTATTTTGCTCTGCGATGTCAAATCCGGTTCGCCTCCACGTTCCAGTGAATATACTCCTATTTGCTTAAAAATCGTGGACACTCTCTCACTTTCATCTGCAAAAGAAGGAGAAAAAAAAGGAAATAGAGTCGATACTCTGTGTCAATACTTCTGTTAAAGGAGATGTCCACCCTTATAATTAGCTGATATTAATTAAAGCAGATAAACGGAAGAAAGAAATTATTGAAAGTTTGAGCAATATCCGATTAAAAGTAGACAAATTATGATTTTTTGTTTTGTTTATTATGAATAAAGTTATCATCAGTGAAACACAAATTGGCAACATTGTGATGTATTTTGCGAGGCCCTCTCTAATTTGCTCTGTACATAAATGTTATAAACTTTAATTTTCTTAGTTATTGATAACGGGAAAAATATTTCATACAGGGGTTGTATATAAAAAGAAAACATATTTGCAATAATTATAATTAGGATTCATGCCAGAATGAACGTTTTGTTTAGGGGACATTTTTTTCTGATTTTGTTAAGTGCCAATCGAATGGGAGGGAACATCGCAAGATACGTCGCAGAGTTGCAATTTTTGTGTTTGATTAATCACAACTTTCTTATTTTTAATCAGATTTGCTCAAACTTTCTCGGACATGTTCCTCTCAATTTTCTGTTTCTATTAAAAGACATTTGATATCTTAGTAGACTTCTCCTTTAAACAATGCGACTATGGACGTTGCAAAGTCACATAACTGCTTTCTGCAAACGTGTATGAATTCATGCTTGAAGCAAACATGCACTAAAAGTGTCCACCTAGACGGTTTCTTGAGAGTATTTGCTGATCTTATCACAGTTAAAGCTTATAGTATGCAACGAAATTCGTATCCTGATGAGTGTAGACTTTACAGTGTGCTACGGCTTAACGGAAGAGGCACACAAGGGGACTCGAGGATGGGTGGGAGAATTTTGTCTCTTCTTTCCTTGTCTGCCAAAGTCATGCGGTAGAATCAAGAGGATTTGAAAGTGTGCTAGCTAGTATAAAAAAAATCTTAAAGTCAAGATATATGTATATTTTATACTGGTTGAATAAATGAAATGAAATGAAATGAAATGAAATGAATGAAAAGGCACTTCCCAGAAATTTTGAAAACTAATGGCTTTTTTTTTTTCTATATGTTTTTCTTGTAAGATTTTGTTTGGTCGTAATTTTCAGCAAATTTGGTCTGAAATTCCCCATTCGAGACTATCAAGTAAGGCCCCTATCCAGGCGCGTACGCAGGGGGGGGGGGGTATTTTTTTTGAAAAAAATTAGTACCCTCACTCCCTCCCCCCTCCCCCCAACACTGAGCGAAATTTTGGTGGGCGCGATTTTCAAATTTTCAAACACCCTCCTTGAAAAAATCCTGCGTACGCCACTGCCCCTATCGATACATATCTGATTGTGTGAAATGCATTGTACGAGAAAATATTATTATAAATTTGCTGTTATTTGAAGAGGCGAAAAAAGGGGGAAAAATGTTGCTCACTACCCCCCCCCCCCCCCCCCACCGACTGAAATTTTGGTGGGCGCGATTTCCAAATTTTCAAACACCCTTCTTAAAAAAATCCTGCGTACGCCACTACCCCTATCGATACATATCTGACTGTGTGAAATGCATTGTACGAGAAAATATTATGATAAATTTGCTGCTATTTAAAGAGGCGATGTGCTTTTTAATTTTTTCACGTTCGAAATCCATGCTTTTTAAATATGCATGCTACCTGGATCAGGTAAATACAATGGGCAATCACTCATTCTTTAGTCCTCATAATTTCACTGTTACTACTAACGATATTGTATTTTGTTGCACAATAACACTGAATTGTTTATAGTTACTGTACCAATACTCATATAAAAACTATCCAACGTAAATCAATACAATAATTATTATATCCTGCATCAAAAATGTATTGGTTTTTGATTGGTTAAGAGCTCTCAACGTGACCCCAAATATTTGAACCATTTAAAAGTTGCCCTGAAAAAGTACATTTCGGGAGTACCTTTTGGGAGGTGATTTTTTTAATATAAATATATCAAAAATATATTACGATTTTTTTTTTAATTATTCTAATTTTAATTTTTGTAATTTTTTTCTTTAAAATAAAATGCGGATACAGGATACCTCACAAATATACCCTGCCTTCTTTTCGAGTTCATTAGTTTGATTACTGGTTATAAATATCGGCCTCGGTAACTCCAATAGTCCTATTGGAGTCACTGTTGCCCATAGTTTTAACCAGAACCTCTAAAGACCGTGTATATTTGTATACTATTTTCTCATTACCTTATACATGCATAGTGTCACTTTCCTCATTTTGTTGCTTTTGTTAATATCATTGAATTACAAACTGTTTATGTCGATGAACATTTTTATAAACATAATTCTTATATTTTTTTGCGAATACGTGGGGAAATTAATACCTGATGTAGTTAGGTCTAGGCCCTTTGCACACGAGACGTCCTCGTGTACACATTATCACCTGCGCTAATAAAACCTATGAAGTCAAATACACATGAGGCGTCTCCGTGTTTACATTATCACCTGCGCTAATAAAACCTATGTAGTCAAGTACACATGAGGCGTCTCCGTGTTTACATTATCACCTGCGCTAATAAAACCTATGAAGTCAAATACACATGAGGCGTCTCCGTGTTTACATTATCACCTAAGCTAATAAAACCTATGAAGTCAAATACACATGAGGCGTCTCCGTGATTACATTATCACCTGCGCTAATAAAACCTATGAAGTCAAATACACTCCGTACATGCATTCCTGTAATTAACGCTATGTTGCTCTATTCATATGTCATGTTATACTTGTATGATGCCTTAATGCCTAATTTACATTTGCCCCCGGGTGCCGCACGATAAATTGGTTTACGATTTTTCGTGCGATTTTTTTTTTTTTTTTGGGGGGGGGGGGGGCATCGTAGGAGGCTACAGGCTACGACGTTTGTGTTTATATTATCTACGAGCATCGTGCCATTTCTTATATTGGCCTTCGGTTGCAGGCCGGGGCTAATCCGCACAGAGGCTGCTTGGAGATTGTACGGAAATCGTGCAATTGCAGGGCAGTAGCCGTGTTGCTACGTAGGCTCCGCACGGAAATCATACGGAGCCGGTGCAGCTTCCATGCAGAGGGC